ATTTTCAAGTATAGATGTGCAGAAGAAAGTCTACAGTAGTGTTTTCACACAATGTTTCACTAGATTTTCAAGTATAGATGTGCAGAAGAAAGTCTACAGTAGTGTTTTCACACAATGTTTCACTAGATTTTCAAGTATAGATGTGCAGAAGAAAGTCTACAGTAGTGTTTTCACACACAATGTTTCACTAGATTTTCAAGTATAGATGTGCAGAAGAAAGTCTACAGTAGTGTTTTCACACACAATGTTTCACTAGATTTTCAAGTATAGATGTGCAGAAGAAAGTCTACAGTAGTGTTTTCACACACAATGTTTCACACATTTTACCGAAAGAAGAAGAAGAAGATCGTGACGAGTTTTAACAAAGGCAGAACACAAATACAATAACAGAAGAAGAATCTTGAGAAAATCTTTTCGTATTTCATCTCTGAGAGTACTTTAGAGATTTAATGCTTTCATGGGACGGTTAACAATATTTCTCGGAACAGAATACGAATACGTTAGTATTAATAATAAAAAACACAACACCTTTCTGAGGTTAATGTCTTATAATTTCTAACATAAGATCTTGCGTATTAGTATTTCTAATACGTCAGTTCTTATAAAAAAAAAAGGGTGATTAATTACAACTTCCTTCCGCCTTCAGCTAACGTCCATGTAAAATTTTCTTTATGAAATAATTGCAAGTTACTGTTGGCCTTAGCTTTGCCTTTAGTGACCATATCCGCCATAACCACCATAGCCTAGTCCTCGGTGACCATAACCGCCGTAGCCTAATCCCCCGAGACCATATCCGCCATAGCCAAGACCTCTATAACCATAACCACCATAGCCGAGACCTCCGTGACCATATCCGCCATAGCCTAGTCCTCCAAGACCATGACCACCATAGCCAAGACCTCCGTGACCATAACCGCCATAGCCTAATCCTCCATGAACTCCGTAACCAACACCCAGACGACCGTAACCGCCGTAGCCTTTGTGTCCATAGATGCCCCGAGCACCATGTACAGCGCCCCCATAACCACCGTAAGCCCCCAAGTTATGTTGACCACCGTAGTCGCTCAGCCCTTGCTGTGATCCGTAGGCTCCATGTAAAGCACCAGCCTTATGGAAGCCGGACTTCTTGTCGTATGAGTAAGCTTTCTCGTACCCCACCCCTTTGTTCCGGGAATAGGAATCAATATCCTTAAAGCCACCCCCATAACCACCATGAGCTCCGTAGGCACCCAGATTTCTGTGACCAGCATACTTATGAAGACCATGTAGCCCATGTCCATATCCTCCATGAAGGGCATGTGCTCCATAACCACCTTGACCGTGAGCACCATAACCAGCTCCATAGCCACCATATCCTCCACCATAACCAGCTCCATAGCCACCGTATCCTCCACCATAACCAGCTCCAATGCCACCGTATCCTCCACCATAACCAGCTCCAATGCCACCGTATCCTCCACCATAACCAGCTCCATAGCCACCGTATCCTCCACCATAACCTCCATATCCGTGAAGGGGAGCGTAGCCATAACCTCCGTAGCCACCATATCCGTGAAGAGGAGCATAACCATAGCCTCCGTAACCACCACCGTAGTGAGGTGCTGCGTAAGTCTCGGACTTCTTCAGGTCCTCCTTCTTGTCTTCAGCGAAGGCTGCTCCGAGTAGGAGCAGAAATAATACAGCCTATGAAACAGAAGAGAAGAAACGTTGATGTACGTATTCAGAAGGGACAATAGTAGGATTAAGTAAACCAATAAGTTTTGTAATAGAAAACAAGAATAAATCAGAAGGGACAATAATTCAGAAGGGAAAATAGTAGAATTAAGTAAACCAATGAGTTTTGTAATAGAAAACAAGAATAACTCTTGTTTTCTATTACAAAACTCATTGGTTTACTTAATCCTACTATTGTCCCTTCTGACTATTGTCCATTCTGAATTATTGTCCCTTCTGAGTTATTCATGTTTTCTATTATAAAACTCATTGGTTTACTTAATTCTACTATTGTCCCTTCTGAATTATTGTCCCTTCTGAGTTATTCTTGTTTTCTATTACAAAACTCATTGGTTTACTTAATCCTACTATTGTCCCTTCTGAATTATTGTCCCTTCTGAGTTATTCTTGTTTTCTATTACAAAACTCATTGGTTTACTTAATCCTACTATTGTCCCTTCTGAATTATTGTCCCTTCTGAGTTATCCTTGTTTTCTATTACAAAACTCATTGGTTTACTTAATCCTACTATTGTCCCTTCTAATTTTTGTCCTTTCTGATTTATTTTGTTTTCTATTACAAAACTCATTGGTTTACTTAATCCTTAATAACTCAGAAGGGACAATAATTCAGAAAGGACAATAGTAGGTAAACCAATGCGTTTTGTAATAGAAAACAAGAATAACTCATTATTATTTTTAAATTTGAATTTTAAAACTTCATTCTCCACGATATTCAGCGAGAACAGAATCATACTTCCCCCCCCCCAAGGGTTCTCGTTTGCATCTCTTACTCATAACTATAAATGCCAGTAAATTTCATTTAAACAGCTAAGCCTAAAAAACAAAACTAAACATTGTACACGTTAAATACCAATCTAACTACTACATTTTATACCGTCATCTTTCATTCATTTCGTCACATTAATAACTTTTCTCTCTATCTCAGAGAACTTGGACCCTCTTTTAGGCCCTGGTCTAGTCAAATGAACGATGTATACTTACGATTTCCATATTTTTCTTTTCAAATTCCTTATAACCACCCAGGAGATTGGTTGGCGAGTTTCTCGTGCTCTGCTACTCAAACCCCAGAATATTTATAGTATTTATTAATTTAAAAAAAAAATCAAATTTTTTTCTTCACCACACGGGAAACATAATGGTAGCACACGGAAGTAAACGTGTCGAATATAAATTCGTCCGGAATCAGCCGGTTTTGTCCGGCTTTTCTTTTTTTTTTTTTATTTTTTTTTACAGTCTACGAATAGATCCTGATTTCGTTAGCAAGGAGGGGGAGAAGGGAGGGGATAAGAGATCAATTCAGCAGTCGTTGGTTGTTTAGTTCACAAGTTTGACCAAAGGGAGACTCGGAACCGTAAGCTTAAAACTGAACTTTTTTTTGACAAATTATTAGCGTGAGATGCTTTTAGTCATGATATCGCCCTATTTTTTGGAGCACAAACAAGAGTGATTTAACTATTATGTGAACTGAAGATCGGAACAGCGTTTGTGCTACAATAAGGAAAGTAAGTTTCTATGTGTGTCTTATAGTTTTGTTAATGGTTGCTCACTTGTTTAAACAGACTACATAAGAGACTACGTTCAGTTTGTTTGTTTTGTAA